ACGCTGTTTTGTAGAAACACCCGAAGACCATCAAGCCAATCTGTAGAATCCAGTGATCAGAATCCAAATATATATCCAGAACAGAGCAGGACAAAGGTCCCACCTTTAACATGTCCTCCCATGGAAGAAAAAAACTTTGTTCCAAAAATTTATTAAGAGACCAGATAACCAAATCCATAAAAATAAAAATATCCATAATTTCTGGTTTCGGATGAAAACGTAGAGAAGTCTCCAAGCAGCAAAGCAGGGAAGATAAGGGAGGACAGGAGAGATGGTAAAAGTGTCTTACTCCTCCGAGAGTGGAACAAAAATAAAATAAAATAAATTAAAAAATATAACATTATAAAACATTTTATCCACACAAAAAATCAGTTTGTCACAAACACTGTAGTAACTATACCAGGCCCATATGGGACGTTGTTAACACCGTTATGAAAATTCACCAAAACCAGGAAAGAGGACATGGAATAGAGGTTCCACAATGAAAACACAAGAAGAAAGGTTGGATGGTAACTACAAGAGCAAAAAAACAAATCTTTTTTGTGGACTGACAACAGAGCAGATCTTCTTATGCGTGCCACATTAAACTACTGACAGGGAGTCGAGTCAGTTCAACTTCAAGAACATAATTAACGCTTACGGGCACAGTATTTACCAAGAGACAAAGGGAAGCATTTTCCCTTATAATGTTCAAAAGGTTCAGTGTTTATTTGTCTATACACAAGTGTTGATCTTTTAAAACCATTTCCATTTTCCACAAATTTTATAGGTACACTAAACGTATCTTGGTAATCTCTTTCTGCAACATTTGCTTTATTGTTATAGACTGTTTAATGAAGTGTTAACTAACTTTTTGGCTTTATTTGAAGCAATGTTATTGTTCATAAGGTTCAACTGTTCATTGAAGTAATACTATATGCAAAAGTTTTGCTGTAGTTGAGTAAATGGCACCTGCAGCACAAACACGTGTGTGTAATCTGTCATTACTGGGATTGTAATTCAGGTTAGAAGTGGGACTATAATATTGTTTTCAAAAGGTTGTATTTAGGCTGTCCACACAATAATGCGATGGTGGCATTTAAGGATTTTCTCCCTCTGGAACCTGGTGTTCAAAACTATAGTTTAGGGGTGCCTAAAACACTGTCCTTGTGGGTACAAGACTGAAAAGATGAAAACTGTTTGTGTATCTACAGAACAGCATTCCTGTGTGGGAAAAGCCATAATTTAATTACTCGAGGGGTAAACAGACTGTATTTATACAAAGTTTTTCTTTTAGCCTTGCTCAAAGCCCCATTCATCCACAAATTCACAGAATGGGGAAAATCAAACTAACACGATGTGCAGACAGCTATTCATTCACCCCGAGCATAGCCACTCAGTTACAATAATCCACTAATATTGCTGTGTAACCAGTTACTTATTTAACTAGTGAATAAAGGTTGATAATACCAAACATTGGAATAATCTAAACCAAACTTTGTAGATTGTTTTGGTTGCAAAGCGTTATAATTTTACAGAGAAATGCGATGCTACGTCTTGCAATGTATTTTTTTAGGGAAAATCACCAAATAAAATACATAGAATGAATAAAGTAGACACTGTAATGTAGGCACAGTGATAAAATTTCCAGTTTTTTTTTACAGCTGTTTCTTTTTTCCTTTTTTTCTTGAAAGGCTCTATGCACTGATTCCACAACAGCTTTTTTTAATAGAACCACCCATTTAGGATGTAGAAGGCATCAAAAGTTGACAGTTAGGAAGCCTGAATTACTTACATTACATCCTAAAAAGATTGCGGAGCCCCGTAGACATAGAGCGTGCTAAAATTTCTCAACAATTTTTCAAATCAAAGTAGAAAAATAACTAGACACCGCATAGCGGTAACATAATGACCCCTTCACACTGCGCAGAAATGTACTGGAACTCAGCAGTCTTTATTCCTAATAAATGTCATGCTAACAGGTGCATCCCAAAATTGTAGTGGTTTGGGAGGGGGTCTTTGTTTTTTGTTTGTTTGTTTGTTTGTTTGTTTGTTTGTTTGTTTGTTTGGGGAAGGGGGCATTGGTTGATCTGATGGATAGCCCCTCATCAGAGCTAAACAACCAACGAAAATCTGAAGCTCTTATGTTTAATATTTCTTGATCTATAACCATTTTTGTATGTCCAGATACCCCTTTTTCAGATAAATTGGGGGTCCAGTGGGGGGGGGGGGGGTGATAGGTTGGCCTGATGGATAGAGCTTCATCAGAGCTAAACAACAAAAGAAATCTGAGGCTTCTATGTTGAACAGTTTCTGAGTTATGAGCATTTTTGCATGTCCAGACACCCCCTCTTTGAAAGGAGACCCCTCCTCAAATATGGGGTCTATCATAAAACCGTTGGCTGGTGCAGTGTAGGTCAGATTCTTCTACAGTCCTGCCAAATTTCATGTTGATTGGTGCAGCCGTTTTTGTGCTACGGTTGACCAAATATCACTGAAAAAAACCAGTACTAAAACAATATGACTCCCGCTTACGCTTTGCGTGCGATGGATTTTTGACATTATATAGGGGTCCAAACATTATGACCAAGTGAATAAAACTCACCTGGTAACACTGACACATTGCCGATTAAGACAATGTTTTTATTGAGGTGCCTATTTAATGGTTGTTGTGATAGCTTCACAATATCCACAAAATCACAAAATGAACTGGGCTAACACTGAACATAAACTTAGCACAAAAAATTAAGGAAATTTGTGTTTGGTAGATTATTTCTTTGTTGTAACAATGCATATTGGCAATAAATCTTATTTCGTTGGATAGCCTGTTAATTACTCTTTTAAATGGTGCCACATTTGTAAGGAGCATGCATTTACGGGATAAAGCCGGCGTCACACTACAAGAAAATCATGCCGATTTTTGCCCTTATGACAAACTTAAGGAAGTCCAGATTATCGTGATGGCTCTAAAGATGATCATAGTAGATATTCCCGCCATGGGTGGTGAGTTAAGACTGATCTAATCGGCTTGGAAGGACGTCGGGTCCGCTCCGACCTCAAATCAGGGATATTCAACTTGTTTGATTTTTTGGCCCGATATCAAAGTGTGTGTGGTGTTCACCTGAGCTCTCAGCCTGATGAATGAGATGTGTAGCCAATCAGAAAGAGAGGTGACGTACTGTAAGCATGGAGGGGATTCCAAAATACAGAAGACAAAAAAACCCATCATGACTCACCAGAAAGTCTGCTGGATGTTAAAAGTCCTATGGAATTGTTTTTCCTCTGGTAAAAATAGTCCACAAACGATCAACATGGTTTCTTCTTTGTTGCAGATGTTTATTTTCTCTGAACTCACGTCTCTCTGGAGGTTACCTGAGATTTTTCCTCTGACATCTGAATTCTCACGAGATTTCAGGAAGTCTTGCGTGATTTAATATCCGACAACATCTGAATGTTCATGAATGAAATATCTTTTGGTGTGCGGTGTGTTGTCTCTTGCCGTGTGGCTGTACACCACACACTGTAGGACCAAACCTGGTAGATCCATGATTTTCTATCCTCCCTCGTGGGGTCTATCAGTCTTTGAAAATCGGCCGACTGTTTTAAAATCTTGTAGTGTGACTCAGCCTTAAGGAGTAGAGCTGAGTATGTGGGTTGCTCACATGAAAAATGAGCCAAATCTTCTCTGTCAAACAGCTTATTGTCTGTTGCTATTGACACTTGTTTTGAGCTTCTGGTGCCCCCAGGTAATCAGGTGCCTTGTTTAAGATTTATTGTCAAGAAGCATTGTTAATCATTGTTGTTGGAGATAATCTACCAAACACAAAGTTCCTTTCTTTTTGTTCGGTTTCTTTTGGGCTACAAGTTTTGAGCAAATGTGCAAAATACTATTCAACCTATTGATAGGAATAGAAACTCTTGGACAAGTTGAATTTATTGTTTAAAATGTGTTACATAAAAAACTACCATTTTGTAGCTGTTTTGCATCATTTATTATATCAGTTTAATAGAGGCATCCTAATTAAATTAGTTTTTAATATAGAGGCAAGTTACAACATACATCGTCTCAGGGCACTGGGAAAAAAAACCAATCTAAGGAAGCCAGCAGATTGTTTTGAATCACTTCATCACAGTTTCCCATCCTGAGCAGCTCATTGGCAACAGTGGAGAGGAAAATCCGCGTTTTAACAGGATTAAACCTCCAACAGAACCAAAACCAGGCCCAGGACAGGCGGCCATCTGCCTCGACCAGCTGGGTTTGAGGGGACAGGAAAGAGACACAGAAACACAGAAGGACTGGTCCAGGTGTATTTTCCTCTGGAAGAAAGAAAACATGTAGAGGAGAGAAAATAAAAACAGCAGCATCATAAATAAAGTTAGGCGTTCATTTCAGCCAGGCAGTCTTAAAGGCACAGTGTGTAGGATTTGTTGTTTTCAGCTACATCTAGTGGTTGAGTGGTTTGGTCCTCCCCCCACCCCCACCCCCCGCTTCCAAACGCAAAGGAGTTGCTACGGTGTCTCTCAGGTGTCAAAAACCTTTGATAATTCCAACCACGATGTCTACCAGCAGCTTCAGGGCTAGTGATGTTTCAAGTGGTAAGATTATGAGCTTTAATAAGTAAAATTATCCCAGCTACAATGACAGACAACAAATATTACATTTATAGTATTACAACTAAAACCGTTTTTGACYCCGCCACCGCAGTTTGTCCTTCATGAGCCTTCGTAGACAAGATGGCGGTGCAAGATGGCGGTTGCCTGTAGTGGCGACCCGCCACCATGGAGATATAAACAGCTTTTTATAAGGTAAAAATAATAAAACAAGGTCTTTGTCTGCAATGATTAGACATGTTTTTATTTATTGTCATTAGTGATTATCTCAATTTCGGCTCAAAGACTTGACATAATCCTACACACTCTGCCTTTAAACTGTTTTAGGGATCTGATGAAGAGGTGGAACTTCCAAATGTGTTCTTCCACAGTCACAATTGTAACATTAGTTGTTTTTCTTTATCACTCAGGACGAAAGACGCCGAGCCTGTCGCTGGAAAAGAGATTCAAGTTACCGTCTGCAACGAGGAGAAGGTGGTCTGTGGAGTAACAAAGCACACAACATGTGTGGATATGATCCAGGCTCTGCTGGAGGACCACAAGACTCTTCCGGAGAGCAAGCGGCTCATCCACGGGGAGCCCAAAGACTTCTGTCTTGTCGAGAAGTGGAAAGGGTTTGAGCGAGCCTTGCCCCCTCTCACCAGGATTCTGAGGCTCTGGTATGCGTGGGGGGACCAGAGACCCTTTATACAGTTTGTTCTCGTAAAAACCAGCGATTTTGTGCCTCAGACGGCCAAGAAGGGGGGGAAGTCCAAGGGTGCCAAACTGAAGCGATGGGATCAAACTCACACCCAGCCTCTTCCAGCGGACAAACAGAAGCGCCTGGTGAAAAAGGCTTTCCGGAAGCTCGAGAAACTCCACAAGGAGAGCCGGTGCTCCCCGGGTGCTGAAGAGGTCAAACGGATGGTGCAGCTGATTCTCAACCAGGACCACACGATCAGAGAACAGATCCAGAGGATGAGGGAACTCGATTTGGAGATTGAGCAGTTTGAGCTGGAAGTGCAGAAGGGAAGCGACTCTGAGATGTCCCCGCCGCAGGCCTGTGGTCTGAGTTTGGCGGAACACAGCAAGGAGCAGCTGCAGAGGTATCTGTGTACCAGCGACGGTGTCAAGCAGCTGGACTCGCAGATCCAGCTGCACCAGGAGTTCATCCTGCAGCTGTCCCTGGACATCCACGCCGAGCTAAAAACCTCTGGCCTCTTTCAGGCCCAGGACGAGGACAGTGAGCAGAAAGGAGCCACGGCCACTCCTCCGCTCTCGTCTGAAACGGATGAATCGTTTTACGAAGCGGAGCTGGAGAGGCTGCGAGCCGAGCTGAAGCGCAGCCTGTTCAGCGGAGTGGCTCTTCAGAACCAGGCTGCAGAAATGGACAGTCAGCTCACGTCTCTGGACAGCTCGCTGGTTGCTATGGACCAGGAGTGCTGGCAGCTGGCCTCCCAGCTGAACTCCGTCCAAATCACGGACTGCACGGAGGAGAAACAGTCCCTGTTGGTCCCTTTAAGAAGCGAGGCTCAGTGCGGCGGGCCTCAGACTGTAAACATCAAACACAGTCTGTCGCCTCAGGACGTTACAGACACAGACTCAGACACCGGGATCAGCTCCACACACAGTCAGGACTCGCTGTCACCAAACCTGGACTTCCCTCCCCCTCTGGATACTGATGTTTGAAGAATCCGGGAAATATTTCCTTTTATTGTTTTACACACACAGACACACATCTACCGCACGTATCACTTGCCATTCGTAGCTTTAAATCTTTACACAGTCTGAGACATGTGAACTATTTTCTGATATATTACAAAGGTAAACCTAAACCTTTTTCTTTTGATAATGTTTTACTTATTTATTCTTTTTAGATTTTTTGCCATGTTGATACATTCTTTGAGAATAGTTAAACAGGAAAAACTTTTTATTTAACCAGACAGGTCTCTAGGGAGGCCTTTTATGTTTCATAGTTTGCTAAATTACTTTACGTTTTCTGCAAAGACCAACAAAGATCATTTGAATTTAGTTGTTTTTTAAGTGGAGTTTTGTGGAGAGAGGATGCAGAAAATGCAGGAAAAACAGAGATAAGTTTCTGACTTAAAGGGATCCCCGATTAGTTGTAACAGTAGACTTTATTTGATAAACATATACTTTAACTGTAAAATAAAGACTGTAAAAATACTGTAGGCTGTTTAGTTTTTATAATTTTTAAACTAAAATTTAAAAATATATTACACGGACGGGGCCATTTTATTTGCACTCAAAGCATTCTGGGTAAATGATGACATCAACTAGGTCCTCGGTGCGAGGCTGCTAGCGAGCTATATCCACCCTGAAGGTTAATCTTGGACAATATCTGATGATCGACTC